CTCAAGATGGAGTAGCAAAAGAGGATATCGTTCAGCCTAACATTTATCCCGAGACGCTTGTTGAGCTCTAAGACTCCCATTATTATCCTAAAGACATTGAGGCAACACTATCCGGGGAAGAGGTGGAGATGGAAGAGGAACTAGAGAAGTAGAGGGGCAGAGGGAACCTAATTTCGCCCTCTATGATGACTTTGGTATAAAAGGGCATCGCATCCTCGGCCCCGAGAGTACGGGGTTATAATCCTCTATGTCTACATATGGGGGATGCGATATTGGACCCTAAACCTATTAATCTGCTCGCCTCCCTTCACTTTGTACTTCCCTAGCCTTGAGGAACTGGCCTGAGGATTCTCAGGGGCAGGTCGACGTCAGGGCATCTCCAAAATTTACAAAAAGTAAAGAAGATGGAAGGGGTTTTCCCACAAAGATCCCCAAGGAGGTTTCCCGAGGGTTGGTCACAGAATGACAACCGAAAACACCTCCGGTTATCAGAAAATCAAAAGAACATAAAAACAATGAGAAGAAGAGACAGAAGGGCGAAGAGATGGAAGATACAAAGACTCACCAAAATGTAAACGGAAGTTTTTCTTGAAAACTTGAAGTGATTCCTCCCTCCAGGATGTTCAGAAGCAAGGATGGGTCTGCTGGCCTTAAGGCTCCGGTGAAAGATTGGGCAGTAGACAACGAAAGGAAATGGGTTTCCGGCAAGATTTCAGGCAAGGGCTCTCTGAAGAAGTTCGAAATGGCAAAATGAGAAAGGGAGAGAGGAAGTCTATTTATATATAGTACTCATCCCCATCATTGGGCACGAAGCACGAACAGAGGCGATAGTGGTTGGGGTAGTTGCAGAACCCTTTGTCTCCTTACGACGCGTGTCCTCGGTGTCAGAAGATCGAAGGCTGGGGGGCAATTGATTGGACATTTTCAGACACTTCGAGATAAGCAACACATGTACTCGATGTCAAGAAAAATACTCTGCTGTGGTCACGACACATGCTCGTCGGGGCCATGATCCCCCTTTCTCCCAAGGAGGTACTAGGCATAAGGACCTACGACGCCGGTTTGAACGGGGGGTTCGACACGTATTCCTCGGTCGAATAGGGGGGTACGTCGGTCCCTAACCGTACTAGGCCCTCGGCATCGAGATGTATCCACTACATCGGCGTTCTATTCCTGCAAGGTTGTTGATAGACAGGACATCAGCCTGGGCTAGTCTAGATTAGCCATCATGACCCAGTCCTACTTGGATGGTGTCAGAACGCACAGGAAAACAAAGGACTCAACCAAAGGGGAGCCGGCACATGGCATACTGTGTTAGTTCAGGGACAAAAAGACCAGAACGCCCTTGTTGACACACGACTTGGGAAAGCAAGTATTTAATGCACCTTTCCTTTGATGAGACATAATTTAAGGCGTAATGACGAGGAAATGAAAGGCAATAAATGCTCCTGTGACTAAGCATTTAATACATCCCTGCCGAGTGAGGGTCATTAAAAGTTCGACAGACTGAGGGTGATGCATTGGTTGCTCGGGATCCCGAGCAGTTAAGAAAGAGGTCATTTCTCCTGAAGACCAGTATGCACGTTACCCACCTCTAATGATCACCTATTGACCACACTGACAGCAATCATGAGTTTTGAAGGTATAAATACTCCTCACAAAAGGCAAGATAGTACGAAAAAACCTATTCTCAAACCCATACACTGTGTTTTCTTCTTTCCCTCTCTCAAAGAACTAGATCGTCGGAGGGGATACGTCGAAAAACACTTCGGCGCCATCCTAACTCATTTTTCTCTGTTTCAGGAACCTCCTTCAGTCTTACTGGACCGCCCCCGATGACCCACAAAAGTCACCCATTACCATTCCAAGCTACCACCGGATCTCACACTGTTCCAAACAACAAGGCTGACCATTCGATTGACTGACTCGTGTTCACCACAGGAGAGATCTGTTCTTGTGTGTATATTGTGCAAAATCCTGCACGCACAGTTGGGTTGAAGACGGGGAAATGTCGAAGGCAAGATGGGGGATGGGGCACTGAAGGCAGAGGTGGACTGGAATCATCAATGAGGTATTTTTTGTAATAAATAAAAAAGAAAAAAATTAATTTGGACCAGAGAACAAAAAAGTTGAGTGGAATTGGAAATCACATCTTAAAAAGTATATACTTAGATTTATTAACAAATTAGTTATCAGAATTTATAGTTTTCAAAAATGTTCACTTCTTTTTTTGTTATAAGGATCTAGGTTTGTGTGGATTATTTTTTGAGCTCAGCGATTGATTACTGTGACATGAACTAATTTAGAAGTTAGAACATCTCTCCAAAAGGACAACGGCGACCGACCTTAAGGGGCTCGATAAATTTGTTAGTATTGAAGTAGATATTTTGAGTCTAACTGACTCTGCTATACAACAGGAGGAAGAGTTTGATCCTTATAAACTCCAGCTGTCATGTTGAATGGACTGAAACTCATCCTCGCCCTACCCCGTTAAACCTAATATATATATCACAAACCACACCCACCCACACATTCTTCTCATTATCAAAAAAAAAAACAATAATAAAGTGGGATCCGCACTTTGAAATTAGTGAGACCAAGTTTAAATGTGTTCTCCATGAGAAGATGAACATGATACATTTATTTGTTTAAAACTATTAAGTATTGAATGAGAAATTACGTCTACAGTGACCCATTTGAATTGATGGAATAAACTAAGAATAGTGTAGTGAAATAAGACTTGTTCCACATCGAAAAGAAAACCAAAACTTTGTTGAGTTAATATACTTCTAGTTGGCTTCATGGGTTGGGCCCTATGGGGTACCACACTTTTGTGAGCGGAATAAGCATCTACATGACCTTGATTATCACACACATACGTGTGCCGCCCGCCACGACTAGGCCAAGCCGGGCTAGGCTGGGCTTAGGCTTGGGTTAATAAGATTTTATCTCTTTTGGAGAAAATTTATTCGGTGCGGGGTGTGTGTTGAATCGAATGGATCCGAACGCAGATCAAATTTAGTATTCCAACCAAAATTCAAAATTCTTGTCTGCTATTTTTGAATTTGGCGTCAGGTGCAATTGTGTTTGGTTACACTCCAAAGCTGCCTTTCTTTTCTTGATATTGTTCAGATTAAGAGTATGTCTCTTCAATTTGAATAGGTATAATGAATAGAGGTATCTCATGCCGCTTTGAGTGATCCAAACAGACGTAAATGGTCTATAAATAGATTGTTTCATTGCCATTTTCAATCATCCTAAATTTTGAATTATGTATTCAGTCTTTTTTTTTTTTTTTTTCTCTCTACATATTGCTACATTGTTATTTCTATTCGATTCAAGTGCAAAACACAAAGTTGTGTTTATTGAAATCTTGAAAATTGAAGTGTTGTATCTTCAAGAACAAAATATATTTTATATTGGGAGACAATTGTTTATCAATCTTAAGCACCGATATGAAATAAATTTGTCCCAAGGAAACTGTGATTATACAAGACTCGAATTATTTCAAATTTCTGGATTTCTTATTCTCTTATTATTGTTGTTCTACGTCGCTATAAGTTCCTTATTTCAATTTCTATTTTAACATTTTTTTAATTAAATAGTTTGCATATAACAATACTCACTTATTTTACATTTGCTATAGTAATTGTTAGTATTTAACATCTGATTATATATTTTGGTTAACAAAAAATAATTTGCAAAACAAACACATTATATAATTGATTATATTAAAATTAACTTAACTCAGAAATTATAAATCAAGAAAATAAAACCGAATAAATAGACCAAAGTTATTGTAAATTCAGATAAAATAAGAGTGTAAAATCTTATAATTTTGTGTACAAGAATATAGAGTGATCTAGTTTTTTTTTCCCTTTGTGAATGTATATATATTTATGATTTAAAGAAAAATATTTTTTATCATTTTACAAAACATCCTATTTTTTTAAAAAAATTTATTCACATAATTATATAAGACATATGCGGGGGCCTTAGAAGACCAACCGCTTCACTTGCCTAGGCGTGGAGCCAGTGCGACACGTATATTTGGTTCTTTACAAAGAAAATTATATTTTAACCCTTTTAATTATGATCTCAATTTAATTTTATTTTTTGAACTATTAAATGTTTCATATTGCCCTCTCAGTTATTGGAATTATTTCACATTGCCCAAAATACAAACATTTGCTAAACTTTTTATCCAATTTATTATCGCCGTTAATGGTTGAGACGATATAAAACTAATCACATAATTAAGGGTATAATGTAACAAATAACATAGTTGAGGGAGATAATATAAAAATAGGTCAAAGTGTAATTTGCCCTGCTCTATATGCAGAAACAGGAATTAGTTGCGTGGGTTTCTTTCCTCAGGCTGCTCTTTTAACTATTTTATCCTTAGTTTCTTTTATATGGGCCGCCTAATTGAGATCCAATGCATTACACTTACACTTAATAGATCACTCACTATATATTTTTTTTTTTTTTTGGTTTTTCACCCCTAACCACTTATTTTAACAGAATAAGAGTCAGGTAGAGACTTATAAACACACACATACCCAAAATTATCCGATGTAAGATAGCCCAATCTCCCGACACCCCTGAGTAATTACCATGACCACAAGGCCTATCAGCCCAAAATATAAGATTCCAGCCCAACACCAAACACCCCATATGAAGAGGTCTTGTTTTTTTTTATTCACATTTAACCACTTACCCTAACAGAGTAAGGACAAGGTGAAAACTTATACTCACTATACATGTTTAAACACCCATTTATAAGTAGTAAATCCAACTTACATCTATAATATAGATGATATATTATTTAATAAAATTGTAATAACAACGACCTCACTCTCGCATCTTCCAAACTAAATCATGCTATTAGGTCATACTAGTGCATGTGACCATGGGAGCCTTCAAGTAACAGAATGACCTTCCTGAAAAAATATGAGAAAGCAATAGAACTGAAAAACATGCCATTGCATACTTCAAATTCAAGTACAATGGCAACGAAGTGGAACTGATACACCTGGTGGCTTTCTTCTCTCTCGAATGATAGCTTCTTTAATCATGGGCAATTTTTTATAAACCTTTTTCCAGATGTGATTCACGGCACCATCAGGAGGGATAGGCCCAATACCACCAGGGTAGCCATTTTCGTACTCAAAGATGGATTGAACCTGAGCCATGTTGCGGCGGAACTTATCCTTTTGCTCTTCAGAATAGCTTTTAAGATGGCGGACAAGCCAGTTAGGCTGCAATGCATCACTAACTGCAACAAACACAGAAAATTCTGAATAATCCATCATCCCTTCAAATGGGAGCTCAATGTTGTCACTAACAATGACAGGTATACAGAGACTTTGGACGGCATCAAAAAGTCGACATGAAGTGGGGGTGTCTCCAGCCGGGTGCAAGCAGAACTCTGACGTCCTCATTCCTTTTATTGATTGTTCCTTTCCGGTGGCATTAGGAAAGCCTTCTTCCATTACAACTCCGGGTACATTAACCAGTAAGTCCCATAATTTTTCTCGAACCAGGCCTCCCTGTGGATAAAAAAATCACTGGTGTTAAGAACATTTCTTGTGTGATAAAAACACAAACATGAGGTTAAGCAGAGGCATTCCCCCGCATCCTACATGATATTTCCATTAATAGCCAGAAAAAGCAGCAGATTTACATCTTCCTCGGACATGAAGCAAAAACAAAAATAAATATTTACCCCAAAACACAGTGAAAGTTGGTCTAGACAAAAGATAAATTTCATTTTTGCTCTTTGCGCAAGAAGGTAGACTGACTTTCAAAAGTAGGCTGTCGAAATCACCAATCACAATATATATGTAGGCAGTAACAGTAGAAGAATAATGCTACATTACCACTACCATTTGTTTTGCACAACATCAATATTTAATAAAGAATGACACTTTCCCGTCCCGAGGATATTGGAACACCACCATTGCCCAATCCCAATGTTTCCTGTATCTTAGATCGATTTAACACATTGTATAGATACAGGGCACACGAATGATGTTTTCTCTAGTACATGGTGCGATAGGATAGACTTAGTTGGTACGTTGTTTAGGTCAAAATTCACTTTGGAACCTCTTACTAGAATCGGTTTCTTTACTGTATGAGATTATAAATATTTATACATCCATAAGCATGTGGTCAAAACAACGTACTGACTAACAGTTGTGAATAATAAAAGTTAATATTGCATAGTTACATGACACAAAAAATTCAAATCACAAGAAGTCAAAATATATTATAGAAATTGCCAAAATAAAGAAATTTAGTATTCGTTATGGTCACAATTTGAGATTATGGTGGGGTATAATTTGGGATTAGAAATTTGTGTCCATATCTAATTGTACATATCTACCTAATTGATGACTAGACATGAGAAATCTGCCACAGAAAATGTGACCAAGATCAAATATGGAAACATTGTTATGGAAAGATTTGCATAATGACCAACATTCTGTAACTATCTATTCTGTAATTGAAGAGCCCTTGACAATGAAATAAAACTGACTACCCCTCAATTTAGGGTCATGGTTTCTAATCATGATGTGTTTGGCTACTTAATAAAACATACATCCAAGTCGTGACGCAGCACAGATAGGGGATTGGGACAGATTGAGAAAAGAAGATGGATGAAATTACCAAATCCTTGAAAGGATTAGATCAAAAAACACAAATCTCCACAAAAATAATCAATTGAATTTGATATTCTAATAAAAAGAATAGGGATTGCATAATTATTTACAGATTCAGTAAGTTTGCTACCAGAACTATAATTATTCTTCAACTAAAACTACCTAAAGCAATCCTACACTGATGACTGATGAGTAAATAATAAAGATTCCAATGAATCCTATTCTTCAATTTTATGTCTGTCCAATCCCTTTATGATCCCATTCTAGTGGGCTTTACAAGAAAAGAATTTCAAGGCATATTAACTTGTACCTTTCCAAGGCTTAGTATAATTGGACTAGTAAACTGAATAACCGGAAGAAAAATCACAATCTTAATACTCAAGCAGACATTCTGTGAAGTAACATTCAAATTGAGCAGGATTCTAATCATATACCAACAAAACAATAGGTGGGTGTCTAAGTTGGAAATTTTCCTGCAGGTAGAACAGATTTGTATTAAAAAATGCTACCTAAATAAGTAAATGACAGATTAAGAAATTGAATACTTACCCGATGTCTATGTTTAGCTCCTTTGAAGTAAAGAAGGGTCTGCCGCCTCCGGTTTTCTGATATGTGCAACCTAGGTAGTAGATGGGTGTACGGCACGATAACATCTTTGAGAAGTGAAACTTGGATGTGTTGTATCATATCTGATGAACCATTGGAGGCTTTTGAGTCAAGCCTGTACCACCCGCCAAAATCTACCACTAAGAGAACAGCATGAGCTATCTCCTCTCTGACATGCCACATTGCAACAGGGTCTGCCAAAGAATGCTTCAAGTTTTAACATAACCTGACAATCGAGAGACTAAACCATAAGCTGCTAACGCACGCAGTAGTTTTTATTTTTAAATCTTTTGGTAGTTGGTGAATCAGAAACATTTTCGCACACATCTAATATAAAATAGCCTAGATATATGAGAAGAAATGAGAGTCCAGCTTTCCAAAAAAGAAAAATTGCATGACTTAATGTTTCCACAAAGATTGTGGCCTTCGGTATCGGGAGAAGTTTATTTTTAGCTGACAATAGGTCCGTGTCATACTAGGAAGAGTGGACTTCCCTGTAGTCCTGTCAAGGCAGAGAAAAATGATATATTGAAGGTCCAAACAAGCACAAAGAGTGAAAGAGGACTAAAAAAAATTGTCGGCACACCCCCACATTTTAATTTACAAATTTGACTACCTGGTTTTAGAAGTATTCAAAGCTCAAGAACCCTGAAATTAATTGTTGAAAAAATAAAATAGCATTTGTTATAAAAAAAAAACCAAGCGTTCATCAAAACATTCATGAAAGCTCAACCAGCAGTTATGTTGTGTAACTTTTTTTCTCAACAACTCAAGGTTTAAACATTTTTGTTGGCATCATAAAAAAGTTTTCTCCCGAACAATCATGCTGGAACTTATTGTGGGCTTCATTTACAACATTTTGGAGAGATTAGGAACAGTGGACCTTAGAAATCATCGGATTGCAATTTACACCTAAAAGCTTAAGCCCCATAGTTTATCATCCCACTCGTATCTAGTAGACAATCATTCCCAGTTAAACATTTTGATGTAGGTTCTGAGCTTCACATGTAGCCCACTCATATCCAGTAGACAATCATTCCCAGTTAATTGTTTTGTTAGGGGTGCTGAGCCTGACATGTAGCAAACATAAACTCCTCACTTGTCAGCGATTTTTTTGTTCATTATCTATATCTTACTTTGTTCTTCTTCCTTTTGTTGAACCCCCCCCCCCCCCCCCCCTTTTGGTGGGTTTTCTTCTCCTTTTTTATTTTACTTTTGGGTCAAATTTCTCACAACGTTTCCACTCTTAAGTTCATTTTTAACCAGGCCCAGCTAACACCACTGTCGGAATTTTCTATTAGGACCTAAGCTGGACTAGTATTTGAAGTTACAGCATTCCCTTAAGAGTGTAAGACAAAAGGGTTTTTGCCAATCAAAATGTATCAAATCATTTTTCTCACTATACAAAACGTTTGGGATATCTTTTTTTTTTTTTTACCCTCGCACCCAACATTTTTCTTCTCTTCAAATGTAAAGTTTTCTTTTTATTCATATTATTTGTTTACGTGCTCCCTTCTTCTTGATCTCCTTTTTCTTCTTATTCCTTTTTTTTTTTTAAAGTTTGGGACTGTTTTTCCCAAGCTTTGTCTTGTCCATTCTATTGTTGATCGTGGCCAAGTCTAATATGAAACAAATAAATAAAAGCTTAAGATCCTAGGTCTCTTGACCCAATCGCATGTATCAAATGAAAATATGATTCATTTTTCCCTTTTTTAATCATTTTCTTAATTTGTGTCGAACCACTTGTTTTTCAGTAGTTACTTTTTTCTACGCCCAGTCTGTTGTGAAGCATGGGAAAACAGGCCTGAATTTTTTTTTTAAAAAAAAAGGGGCAGAAGAAGAAGAAGAAAGCTAGGAGGAAAGAGCCACGAAAAATTGGTTAAAGGAAAATACACTCATATGTGAGGTGGTAATGTTGGGAGAGGTGAGATAGAACCACCTGGTTCTCCTACATAGGATAAATATTGTAGGATAGACCACTTAATACATATGGTCGAATTGGCAACAACCTAAACTTAATCTTTTAGGTGATTTTGTGCGTGCCCAATCTCAAACATGAAATTACGACTAATTACTTGCCATTGATTGTATAAAATAAGTCTGTTAAAAAAAAGATTGTATGAAGTAATTAAGTTTTTAGCATTAAGATTTCAAACAAACCTCTAAACAGAATAAATAAGATTTATTACTTGACAAAGCTTAACAAATCACCTAATTTTTGCTTAAAAAATCTTTTCTAACACATAAGATGGTCTGATAAAAACAAACACATAAGATGGTGGATGGCTCAATTATTGTTCACTTTATAGTTTGACATTTAAGCACACAAAAGGAATCTCATTCATCGGAATAAAATAAATTGGTCATCAAGGTATTGATCCCCAAGAAACCCCAGAGAGCCAGCACAGGTTCACTTCACAATCATATAGGTTATTTTCGACAAATTTAGGCCGCGAGAAATTTTTTATCTAGACACAAGAATTATTTTTAATACCCCCCATAACCGGAGTACCAATCTCGAGGCACTCTTCCACCATCAACTATATGATGACCTTGTTAAGATTGATCAATCATAGAGAAGAATAGAGAGAGGAAAAGAGAAAAGAAGAAATATTATTAAGGCACAATTAGCCAATGCAACATTAAAAAGCTACACCCTCCATTCTTAAATATCTGTCGTTTTATACAATTTTTTTTGTTCCATATTATCTGTCGTTTAATAAAACCAAAGCATAATTAATATTTTTTCTTCCAAATTTACCCTTAACTTTTCTTTGCATTAGATTAGGTGGAGGCTAAGTGTCTTTCATATTCCTTTCCTTCCCAATACGTATTGAATAAGGATATTTTAGTCTTGTTTAATTATTTTTTACTCATATTACAGTTATTTAATAACTTCTTTAATCTCTGTGCAAAAACCTTAAACGACAGATATTTAGTAACGAATGGAGTAAGAAACAAAGCAGATGCCCTTAAATAGTAGGGCAACATAAAATAATGAAATGATTAAACTACTCCTGCTACTAATATGCTAGAATACTCTAACACTCCTCCCCCTTTCCTTCAAACTCATGATGTCGTGGTTAAAAAATCAAGAGTTAGCTATGAAAAAATTGAAAGCGTGCAATAGTGTAGGATTTCGTAAATAAATCCGCTGGTAGAAAGAAGAAAGGGGAGATTGATAATTGTTGAAGATAATGACATATAAAGTGACAATCAATCTCAATATACTTTGTATGCTCCTGTAAGACTGAGCTGTGAACAATCTGAATATCACTGGTGTCATCACAATACATAGGTGTAGGACAGATAAAAAAATGCCAAAATCAACAAGCAGCAATCGTAACCAGACTGTCTCAGCAATTGTAGATGCCATAGCACGGTATTTCGCTTCAGCTACGGAATGAGCAAACTGTTGTTATTTCTTACTTTTTCAGGAAATAAGAGAATCACCAAGAAAAAGACAAAAAATCGGTGGTAGACTTGCGATCCATAAAGTCGTCGGCCTAACAAGTATCCAAGTAATCCCTGAGTTCCATAGAAGAATTGGACAAAAATAATAGACTCAAATGCAAAGTATCGCGAAGATATCAAAAAATGCGAAGAACGTGGTAGGTGGGTGATGCAACAAACTGACTAACAACATGAACAGAATAGAAGATCGCTGAGGATAGCAAGGAGCATGATCCACAGTATCAAAATCTGATTGAGTGATACAAGAAAAAGGGAGAGACACTACGTCTGTAATAGTAACGGCTGGAGTCCTATGAACATAAGTATGCATAATAAGGGAATGGGTAGCAGACAAATCAATAGAAGTAGAAGACGAGGATGACAGTCGGACTGAGATATATCACCAACATACGTATCATGGGAAACATCAGTTGGGAAAAGATCGGATTGACGCACAGATGAAGAGCTAGATGGAATGAAGAAAAGAGGGATATGTTCCATAAAGACATTATGACGAGAGACAAAATTTGTGAGCAATAGGATCATAGCAACAATACCCCTTTTAACATTCACCATCACTAATACCAACCTCATCCAGAGAATACCGTAAAGCATGACCTAGTGTACTAAGAAATAACCATTTATTTGCATTCCAAAGGTAAAAACCAGTGCAAGTTTAGCTGTCATAGACACATACATATATAGATATCTGAGCAATAAAAAATCGTTTCTAATTAACGACTATAGAAAATTTAAGAAATTTATCTTACCAGTAAGAACAAAGACATGATCTCGGCCGCCTGAGCGCTTCCAAGCCTCGGTCTTTTTCACCATATCCACCACCATTCTCTGCCTCTCATAGTCCTCATTCCCATCCTTCTTTCTAAACACCCCTTTGTTCCCACCCAGCTGCATTTCAGCACTCAGAGTCGCAAAGAACGGCACAAAAACCACATCAGCTTCTTCAAACTCAAACACCCTTCTCGCAAAAGACCCTTTACTTTGTTCCACAGGTGTCATCAAGTCCCCCAAGATCCAGTACTCAGCGCTGTATTGCTTAATCAATGGATTCTCAGGAAAAGGTGGGTATTTTTCAAGATTTTTGGTCAAATAGGTTTTTCGAATTTCGTTGTCTACTTCACTTCCAAGCCTTGAATCGTGAGTCAGATACCAGTATTTGTCCAATAGGCCATAGTTGAGGGATCTGGGTAGGTCTGCTACGTAGACTTTGATTGAAGTCTGGGGTAGTTGAGAGGTAGCTTGGGATGGATTGGGTACGTGGTGGTTGTGGGTAGTGCTGTTGGATAGGAAGAACAGAGATATCGAGAGGATGCAGAGGAGAGAGAGTAAGAAAAAGAGAGAGGAGACTGAGCAGAGAGAGGAGGTGGTAGCGGTGGGGCTGGTACTTTTTGGAGCCATTTTTCTCTGAAGCTGTTTTATGCTTTGATCAATGTTTTCCGTAGAGTGCTAGGCAGATAATGCACAGATTGGGAAGAAGACTTGAAGGCAACAATTAAAGTGACTATGTGAGTGGTGGTACAAGCTCTTGCTTCTCTCTCTAAAAAGCTCAAGAGTTAGGGAGTCGCCGGAAGCTAAACAACGATTACTATTGTCCAACAGAAGATCTCATCCCCTTCTGATGATGGAGGAGGAGGAGGAGGATCCTACATGACCACCAAGATCTAAAGAGAAAGCGGACCGCCCGGAAAGAAGCCCTAAAAAGAAAAGGGAGAATTGCGTCCGCACCCAGGGCCTGTGACTTAATTACATATACACTTCTTTTGACGTGTTACATACACGTCTGTATCAGTTATCACTCAAACCCCCGTAAGCGTGCGATACTTAAATTTTTGGGTTAATATCATTTTGTACCCTGAAAGATTGTTCGAATCTCAATTTAGACCCTCAAAGATCAAAAATTTTAATTTACACTCTCAAAGATCAAAAATCTCAATTTACACCCTCAAAGATAGAAATTTGTATCAATGTGCACCCCCAAAGATCAAAAATTTCAATTTACACCCTCAAAGATAGAAATTTATATCAATGTGTACCCCAAAGATAAAAAATCTCATTTTGCACCCTCAAAGATAGAAATTTCTATCAATGTGCACCTAAAATTAAATTGATAAATTATACCTAAATCCCCTCATATTTGTCAATTAATCATTTAGACCTCTTCACATTTAGAATATTACTCATATATCTTATGACACTTGTGCACGTATAACACGTAATCCATTTTCATTGATATCTATTAATATAACCGTTAAAAAATATAATTTAATCCTAATAAAAAATTATAATTTCATATTACCCTTTATTTGATAGGTTCAATATACTATAAAAGTTCAAAATCTAGTTTACCATTTGAATGTCTAATAAAATATAAATATATATATAATATTTTTTATATTGCCTTTTATATAAATATCTACATTTTATTAGACATTCAAATGGTAAGCTTGATTTTCAACTTTAGAGTATATCGAATCCACAAAATAAAAGGTAATATAAAATTATAATTTTATATTAGGATAAAATTATATTTTTTAACGATTATATTAATATATATCAACGAAAAGTGGTTATGTGTTACACATGCATAAACGTCATGAGATGTAAAGGGAATATTCTAAATGTGAAGGAGTTCAAATGATTAAGTGACAAACATGAGGGGATCAAGGTATAATTTATTAATTTAATTTTAGGTGTACGTTGATACAAATTTCTATCTTTGAAGGTGCAAATTGAGATTTTTTATCTTTGAGGATGCACATTGATACAAATTTCTATCTTTGAGGGTGCAAATTGAGATTTTTGATCATTGGGGGTGCACATTGATACAAATTTTTATCTTTGAGGGTGTAAATTGAGATTTTTGATCTTTGAAGGTGCAAATTGAGATTCGAACAATCTTTCGGGGTGCAAAATGAGATTAACCCTAAATTTTTTAAATTTTAAATATTATAATCAAAATTCATATTCTATTGTATTATTTATTGAAATAAAATTAAAAATAAAAATTTATTTTTTTAAAAAAATCGTAATTAATATATAATTATACTAGTTATTTAAATAAAACTAAAAAATCAAACGAGAGTCTAAGTCATTCATAATAAAAAATAAATTTTTAAATCAAAATTTATATTCTATTATATCATTTATTAAAATAAATTAAAAAATAAAAATCTAATTTTTTTAAAAAAAAAATCATAATTAGCATACAATTATACTATCTATCAGAATAAAATTAAAAAATCAAACAAAATGTCAAACTATAATTGACACAATATCTTTTAGTTTTAATCAGGATAATTTGGTAGTTTAATTTTGTCGTTTAAATGACTAAATTAAATTTTAATAGATAATATAATTGTATATTAATTATCATTTTTTTTAGAAAAAATTAAATTTTTATTTTTGATTTTATTTTAATAAATGTTATAATAGAAAATAAATTTTAGTTGTAAAATTTAAAATAGTTGATATTTTATAATTAATTGGAGTATTTTTTTGTCTATATATAACATTTTAAACTTGAGAAATCTAAATATTACACGTTTACAAATTTGAGGAGATCTGAATGTAATTTACTAACAGGTATACTAAACAGTAGAATTTAAATATTACACGCATACAAACCTCAAAAGTTTGTATATAATATTTCAAATGTCAACAAATTTAAATGATTAAGTAACAAATCTCAAAGAGTTTGAATGAAATTTTCTCATGAATTTATTTTGAATAGTTTCACCTCCAATTCCCAATCATCATCGTATTATGCTCTGACTACCTACTATCCCAAACCCCGACTCATCCTTGTTCATCCTGAAAATTTCAATTATTTATTCCCCTTCAAGCCCCTCAAAAACTACCATAATCATACACCTCCAAAGGTTGATAGTGTCCTTCTCAACATCTCCATAATTTTTGATCAAATTGTGTTTTGGGGGGGATGGGGGGTGAATGATCCAATTCATTCCCTCTTCTTTCAACACCTTATACCACAACTTCAGCGAAAAAGGAAAACGAAGAGCAATGACAAAAAAAAAAAAAAAAAAAGAGACGTTGATGAATGTTTTCACTACAACTACTATGCATAATGCACCATTGTGGAGAAAAACAAGCAAGAGGTCTTCTCTTTTGAATCAAATCACACATATTCCTACGCGCAACAGTACAGACAAAAACTTGTTCCTTAATAGAAACTTTAACTTTCCAAAATCATAGAGGATCAAAAAAAAAAAAAAAAAGAATAGAAGATGGTCCATCAATTAGTAACTCGAATAAAAAAAAAAGATACACAAAAAAACTTACCAAAGAATCGAGAATCCAAATATCAGGCATAATGCAAACTAGAAGCATATTAAGGCTCCACAAGCCAGGCTGCCATGGCGTAAACATATGCATAATGGGTAGGAGCACAATGACAAATACACCCAGTACACAAATGAAAGAAATATGAACAAAATGCTTCAAAGTTAAATTTCTCCAGTAGCACAGATGCCCCCACACTCACACTACAAAGAAAAAGTTCACTTGCACCCAAACTAGAGAAAAATAACGACAAATAACTTCAAAGCTCTTATCTCCTATCTGACACCACAACAGGACAAGAGCCTTCTACTCTGCTAACTGCGCACTCCAGGGAGTGTTGTACACTTTGTACTCCAAATTCATAGACTAACGCTCCATCCCGACTCCATCAAAATTCCAGTCTCTCACGATGTCCCTCCTAACAGCACGGCTTCGGACGAGTCTTGGGGTACCTGTAACTACATTACTAGGAACAGCTGGTTGTGGGGTCACCTTAGATGATGATGCAAAATGAGTGTTCGCCGTTGCGTGTGCAAGTGATATCTTCCTGGTCAAGCAGTTGCTGATTGCAGAACATCTTCCCTCATTGTCGGAACTTGAAACAGAGTAACTCCTAAAGGAGCGAGACGGGCTTTCCACGCTATGGCACACAAGACATGCCAGACTCATATTTCCCCTTTGAACACTCTTAAACTGCAGAATGTTCTTTGCTGTGCATACAAGCCAACATAGGACCCAAAAAAAATAAATATATAAGGATAGTGTCGTACTATGAAGATCACAAGAATTATTTTTGTTTTGCAATTGAATTTTTCATTTGACATGCACAATTCATATTTTCCTTGAAAAAGCAAACAATTCAATAGAATTATGTGAATGCTAAGAAAATTTAGAGAACATAAGGGTAAGAGGGAGTGAAGGAAAAGCGAAGACTATTATCACAGAACTAATGGCATTTCACGATGTTTGATTATGATTAATGATTACTAAAATGAGCAGCATTTAAAGACTCACAATGGTCAAGGACAGTTATATCCAATGTTTTACAAGCCAGACAGGCTCGTACCAAGAGAAATAGGAGTGAAACAAATAGCCACAAGCAAAAGGAAAAAAAATCACATTTCAATAGGGGACTTAAAAACATATTCATAACAACTGCAACCTATGATGACACCTGATGACTGAACTATGCTTTTCAACACCCATTCTTTTTTCCTCTGTTTCAATCTTTTTCTGCTTTAGACATATATGAACGATATTATCCAACTCCCTTTATATACGTGTGAATAATCTATCCAGGTTCAAATTTATAACAACCTTTTTACAAGGAAACTATAGAGTTTCATAAGAGCTTTACTACAGCCTTCACTTCTCCACAAAATAAACTCACTTGTTTATAGGGATCAAATATTCTTTTTCCTATGAAGAAAAACACGTGACTTCAAAGTGATGATTAAATCCACAAGCAAAAGTAAGTCTTTGCATAAAAATACTTCTGCCATCCAAAATATATGATCAACTATGGCAAGGTGGTAGCAAAAATCTTCCATGACAGTTACCTGTAAGGCCCAGCTAACTGTTTCTAATCCAGTGTAAATAAATCTTTAGAATTTTTATCCCAGCATTTGAAAACAGAAATCAGGATAAGCACACGAATATGGACCAAACACAACACATAGAAATTCATCTTGCTGCCTGACACCAATTGCTGTCATGCCAGACACCAACAATTTTTTTTTTGGATAGGGGACAATACTTTTATTAATATTAAGCAAGACACAAACAATGTTCCTACATATTTAAACACCCTCTTTATTAAATGGAAAAAAGGTCAAGCTAACAAGAAGATTGCTATCTAATCAGCCTGTATTTCTGCCTAAAAGTATTGCTAACTAAACTACATATCATTTGGTTACCCTATCAAGTCAGTTCACAACATTCTTGTCTGAAAGTAAGCATCTCGCCGAAAACAATTCAAAACAAAGACCAGCAGTTAAGAGTTAAAAAATCATGGATCAGAAGTTTTGAAATATTGTCTACCCTGCATCACCAAAAAAGGAGAGATACATATGGTGTTTTCCCACATAACAGCCTTAAAAACCATCAATTACAAGAAAACCTAGTTAATCAAAAGCATATGGTTTAAGGTGTCGAACAGGTCTGAAGAGCTCAAAGATACTCGCATCTAGGACGCACGGATACGCACGGATACGGACATGAGAATAAGAGAAAGTTCAAAAATATAGGACATGGATATGGCAAGGATACGGCTATTAAAATCATATAATATATTTGTAAATAATAATAGAGTTGTAATATATTAAAAATAAAACATATATTATAACAATATTAATAATAAACAAATATTAATTTTTTGATTAAAATTGAAATAAACCAAAATAAATATCTATTATTTTCATCAAACTTATTACATCAATTGACATTCATAGTATATAAGCTATATAACAACAATTATATTAAAAAAAATAAAAATAAAACCTCTTTTAATAGTCAACAATTGTTTTTTTTTAAATTCCTTGCCGTATCCGATTGGGTTCATTATTCAGGATACTTCTAGCCATGTTGGACACGTGTCCGGCCGTGTTGGATGGGTGTCTGACACTGCCACAGCACCCCTCCAGGTAGTTTCTGTGCTTCCTAGACTAGAATCATCCTTACACGCCCAAAAAAATCAAGTAGCATCATCATGCTATAGGTTTATGGAAGTTTCAGAACCAGGTATAAGCTTACAGCGCGAAAACTCGAATAACTATCCGCACGAAGGGAAAATATTCATCTTAACAACTGGAGTTGATATTCAATCAATGCAGACATAATAAGCATCCACAGGTACTAAGGCAATTTGTTGCAGTAAATTAGCCCAATGAGCAGCATACTGTCAAAGATACTGCCCAGTAAGCAGACAAAAAGTTTGACTAATGTTTCACTAGCAAACAGAATACTGTCAAAGAATTGCCCTATACAGCATGGAAGCAGACATATGTCACTCCACGTTCCAAATATATTTGGGAATATAAATATTTCTTTAACCATCAACTTCACAACCTACCCAGTTCCTTCAAACCACCTAATGATAACACTTTGTGTCAGCCTGAATGATCATATTACTCCTTGTTTGTTCCACACAATGTGAATTTTTTTCCTAGAAGTACATAAAGACCAGGAAAACAAAGTAGCAACACCTCCAATCGTCATTTTCAACAAACACGAATAATACTCAACAATATTCCATGTGCAAATCAATTTATACAAATGATTATGCCACAATGATTACACTAAAAAAACTTCGTATCTTGTGCTATCAACATGACCTGAAGTATCCATTTCAGCAAACATGACGACGATAGCGAGTAGCCTCAAAAATTAAGAAACTCCATTTAATTTTTTTTGAAGGCATAACTATACCAAGAAAATCATAAGGACTATTATGGCTTCAGTTAAAAACTAACTTTCATACTGATAATCATAGTTGTTAGTATCGTACGATACGCGATACGTATCGTACGATACGGAGGTAAAACGATACGGATTATAGTTATATTTCGTTTTTGTAACGTATCGTCCGATGCACAATACGTTTTTACGATAAGATTTGTATCGGTACGATAAGCGCAAAACCTGTTTTTTTTTTTTTTAAACGACTTCGTTTTGTCTATAAGACACTAATTTTTTTATCCCTGCCACTGATGAAACGACGTCGTTTTAGCTAGGGTTTACAAAAAAAATAAAACCCCTTTTTTCCTCTCTTCTCTTTGTTGTTTGCTCATCGCTGTCTTCCTTCAGTGTTCTTCAGACGATGTTTTAGCTAGGGTTTACAAATAATTTTTTTTTTTGGTATAAAAAAATCTGAATCTTGATTAATTTTATGGATTGAATTCAAAATGAATGTTAGAAATTTGGATTAGAAATCTCTTTGGTGTTTGAAGTTTGAATTAGTGAACTATGGTTGTAAACTTTGCATTACAATATTAGTGAACTATGTTGACGACTTGAATAGTTGGTGGAGTATTAATGAAATGCTATGTTTTTATAAGTGTATAAATTTTTTTGAAAGGTATATATATTTTATTATTATTTATTTAAAATTACACCATATCTTACGATACACAATACGATACACTATTTTAAAAAACAAAACGCCTTCCGATACACGATTTCATAACAATGCTGATAATCATAAACTTCTTTTCATGTTCTCAAACATGAGTATTTAATAAGGGATCACAACACAATAATAATAAGTTTCATTTCTGGTCACTAAACCAGAGCTATTAACATTAAGAAACGACATACATTGAATGAAGCCATGATATTGACAATATAAAAATTTTACTTAGTTGAGTGTCGGAATGAAATAATCCTCAGCTTCCATTAGAATACAAATTAATCTCTCGTCACTTGTAGTTACTATAAGATGTTCAGGACAAGAAATTCGTTATGCAATAAGCATGGTTCAAAATTACGGTACACATTGATCGCGCCATTTCGGCATGGTATCGATACACTCAAAAATTCAAAATGCTAGATAAACTCAAAAAATTCTAAAAAAATTATGAAAAATATTTAAAAACGTAAATAACAACATTCATAGATCATATGTCAAAATACATAATCTAAGACATTAAACATATTATAAGCAAATTATGAGGGCCCTACCGAAATATTTATCATCATAAATATTCAATTTAAGCATTTAAAAAAATACCTTGCTCATTGCCACATTTTATAATTAAACAACACATGAAAAATACCCAAAAAATTATTTTGATTTATATGGGAACATATAAGAATTTAAAGAAATTTTAGTTTATATATTTACAGATATAATAATCATGTAATCTAATTTTATACTAGTTAAATAGGGTTTTAATATACATGGTATACTCTCAATGCCCATCGACTAATATATAAAATTGTATTAACTATTGGGTCCAGTAGGGCCAATACTCAATACTCTCATTTGGTCAAAACTCTAGGATAGAGTTTACTATTTTAGACGAAAAGAGAGAGGGAGGCAACTGCGATCGCGAGAGTGAAAGAGAGAGAGAGAGAGAGAGAGAGAGGGGTCCAAGAGGCATCTGCAATCACAATTCCTTCATTCTACAAGAGAAGAAGGGGTGATGTTGGGCACTCGAGCTCTACTTCCAAGGCGCGACCAAATGTAGATGAAGATGAAGATTTATAGGTATTTATTGCATTTCCTTTCAATTCTTCTTCTTTCGTTCTTATAATTCCAAAATGATGTGATTTGGGGCTGGATATTTTTTTTGACATTGATTTAGGGTTTAAAAAACTGATAAATTTTTGTGGTTTTTTAACTGATAGGTATCTGATTTTTTGTTTTATTTCTTATCAATCCCCTTTTCATTTGCTTATTTTGTAACGAATTCAACCTAACTAATGAATATGCATGTGAGTCTCGTCCATTTTCTTCTTTCTTTCTCTTTTTTATTAGGGATTTTGCAATACCACCGAGTTAAGATCGATTCAGTCGAATCTTGTTACATTGGTGTAACGTGTTTTGTTATCAAATCGGCCACAACCGAGGTATATATGACTCGACCGAGTTGACTCAGACTCGGCCGATACTTTGAACCATGACAATAAGACAACAACAAACCTTGTTGAAATTCATTACGCAATAAGACAACAACAAATTTTGTTGAAATTCTTACCAAGATTCCTAAGCCTTAAA